GCCAATAGAACAAACAAACAAACAATCAACCAAAAAGCTTTGACCAGTCTGTAGTTTCGCTTCGGGCGAGCTGGCCATTGCAAATAACGAAAATATTTTCAAGTCAAACACAAAAAACTAACGGGAAGAGAGGGTGTGGCAAAAAAAAAAAGAGAAAAGTTGTTGAGAATTTTGAAGAAAACTTTACCTTTACAAATATTTTCACTGGATGCATGGGAAGGAATTCGATACAAAGCGATTCATCGAATCTGGCTGCAATTTTATACCTTTGTTTACACCGGGCTAGAGTAAATCAATTCGATGTGAGTATTGTTGAAAGAAATATGGATTTGTGCTTTATTTTTAGAGCAGCCAGGAAAGTGAATGAGGGCATGTGAATTTTGAAAACAAGTAGGGAGTTTTTGTAGGAAATACAGTGTCATTTTCAGCTGGTAAATTGAAAAATAACATTCCTTTTAATTAAACTTTTGACGATTTTAAGACAAAGCGATTTTAAGTGCCTAAACACACATCCGATTCGACTAGTCCTCTATACCTTCTATAATTTTTCTCCGTGTGAAATTAGGAAAACTGTTTCAAAGTAGACAGGCATAGCCCGGCAATAACAATCCATACATAACGAGGTGGAGAAGGGAAAACAGCCCACCACATAGTACACATTAGGCTGCTAAAAGTGAGGTCAGTTATGTCAAAACAGACAGCCAGAAATGTGCACAAGCGAGTGTATATTTGTGGTCATTAAAGGTTACCAAGCCTCAGCTGACAGAGGCAAATCGGCGCAGAAAGAGTCAACTTACACAGCAAAGGCAAAGGCAAATTGACTATGAGCACGCTCTTTAACTTCTGCGGCCAGGCAGAAAAGTTAAAGCTGCAGCGAAATTATCATCGGCTGCCGGGAGAATGTGCGTTTACGCCGACAAAAAGGTGAACAGACGCAAAGCAGGTCGTCCGGGGAGGGTGAAGTATACCCCAGAGCCTTGGTAATTTTATAATAGAGCTCGTCTTTCACCCGATTCTGGGATATATACGGAGGAGCGCTTCATACGCGCACATTTGTATGCGGAGGCATTTTATGGCAGCCTTACATTCTCCTCTTCATGGTGAAAACTCCAGTGGCCAGACAATAAGTGAACATACAAATTGCTGCACACGATGGCATGGCACTTATTTGGGTTGACTGCCTTGGTTAACTGGTTAAAATAGTTCAGAAATTAAAATCCTCCAAGGAAATAGACTGAAAACGAGAGAAATCAGTCAATGGAGAACTAAATCGGTCAGAAACTTTGATCTAGATATGTAAACAATAGAAAAATCGAACTGAACTTTGGATTAGTCTGACGAAACAATCTTTTTAGAAGGAACTTTGCTTTTAGAGGTTAAATAGGTTAATAGCTCTTAAATAAACCTATTAATGTTATTTGGTTGTGAATTCAAATTCAAACAACGAAAATGGGATCGAAACGACCGAACCGCAAAAAAAGATAAATCAATAAAATCTTTTAGCTCCTAGAACAACTTTTTTAAGTGGTTATATATACGCAACTAAAAAATTCCATTTCGCTACCTGCTAATGACTATAAGTTTTACCTGACAGTTTGTATAACGTTTTTACAAAATTTTACTTTAGGTTGGAATTCTAAACTGCATCTTTCTTTTAAGTGCAAGCCTTTTTTGGTGAACATGTGACGTCAAAGTCAAGTTAACTACCGAGACAGAGTGGGCCAGTAGTGCTTTACCAACACGAGCATGCCAAAAGCAGTTAATGGCAGGTGACAAACCCGCTTAAACAAACAACGAAACAGCGATCGTCAGTTAGAAACTGGAAATATCGCTGAAAAGTGAAGTGCTCTACGAGCTCTGATCTTGTTTTCTTCACCATTTAATTGCACACAAGTCACGTTCGATTTGGGAACTCAATGATGGGCGTGCTTGGCGCTAGCTTATGGATTATTGCAATTAAACTGATCAGTGCCCCGATATATTATGGCTTAATTCCAGGGCATTGCAAGGGCCTTGTCACCTATCTGAGACCTATCAGCGCGACAGCCCCCGAACACAAAATGATTTACCATTTTGACACATTTATGCTAATTTCAAGCAGGCTCGACGAATTTCGTGTGTCCCCACACGTATGTAATGTATCAATTGGAACTTGTTAATTTGCCGAGCAGGTTCTTCCCCTGCCCTCCACTCGCCACTTAACCCCTTCTTCCCCGCCGCCCAGCAATCACTCAATCAATTAGAACCAGTTCTTTGTCTGACTTTTGGTTGGTTATAGCTTAACCCTCTAAGAAATGAATATCTATTATTGAAAATTAGTTATACATTTTTTTCCAAAAATAAAAGAAAAAACTTAAGTACTTTATACATTTCATTAGGCTTTAATGATACTGGCAAATAATTATTTCCGTCACATCAAGTCTCGCAAATAGAAAGATCCCACGAGATGAAATTTGGGATTAATCTTATAAAATTTTTAATTATGGAATTTTGACTGCACTTTTGTGATTTTAAAGTACGTTTATGCAAATCGAAGATATGACCCTATTTGTATGCTTACGGATATGTCACGTGAGTAATCAAAGGGTTAAGTATTGAACGGAAATGGAGTGAGCTTTTGGCGAAAAATGATTTCGATATGAATCGAATGTGTTGTGGGCCAACTTCCGTTGGTCTTGGCATACCTTTATCGGTTTCTCAGTTTTAGTTTCTCGATTTCTCAGTTTCTGTTTCTCGATTTCTCAGTTTTTCAGCAGTATTTTTCCCATTTGGCTACGTCACGGAAATCCAGAGATGCTTTTGGTTTTAAGCGCTGCTTTCTATGTTTTCACTGTGGATATGTGTATACAGCAGTTGACATAATTGAATTAAAACTGTAGTTCACGAGAGAATTTTGCACAACGCATCGCGAGGGGCTGGTTTGAGAGGGGGTGGGGTCCAAGTGGGGTCAACACATGTAAATGCGGTAAAAAACACAAAGATCTTTTAGTAGTGTATGTGTACGAGCAGGGAATGGGGAAAATGGGAGAATGTGAATTGGAAAGGGAAGAGAGAGAATAAGAGGATGAGTAAAAGGTGAGAGAGCGCAGCTGTTTTGATGGTTTTTTTGCTCTTTCTTTAGCTTCACTTCGGTTTGTTGATTCCTTTCTTCTATTTTTCTTTTTCTTATATTTTTTGCAGTAAGATTAGGTAACTTGTGTCTATATGAACATAATTCTTAACACATTTTACTGCTTGACACACACACTTATCATAAATATGTATGTTTCACACACACACTCGGTGCGAGAGAGACACAACCACACACACACGCACGCGGCAACAAAATCGATATTCTAAAAATAATATAAGTAAAAAATATATATGCATATACGAAATCCAAACGATTGAGTGTGTATGTGGTTGTGGGCTGGCGAGTGTAATTACATATTTATTTATTTATTAAAACTTTTGGTGAACTCCGAATTGCGTCTGAGGGGTAGCCGCTTACTGCGCACTTGAAAAATTTGCATTCGCCTTGGAAATTTGGCTTGAATTTTTTACACTCGACGAGAGCTTTGTTTAGTTGCGATTTTTTTTTTGGCCTGCAGAATATATTAAAAACTGACTGCGTTCTATATCAGGCGTGTGTGTATATAAAAGATTTCTATATCTTTTGCACCCAACCGACGACCAAGGCGGCATACGGCAACTGTGGCGATATTTTTTTTCTTCGCCCGACTCTTGCTCTCTTTTCGGATTGCTCTCTCACTTTTGCACATGTGTATATACTATACGTGAGAGACGGCACACATACAAACAAAACCAGAGAAACGAGCAATAGTTAAGAGTTTATGGTGCCTGTTGTTATTGTTGCTTATCTTTCTGACTTTTGTTTTCCTAAACTGTAGTTTGGTTTCGCACTTGAAATCCCCCGTTTCGATTACTCATTGAGCTTGAATTTCGATACCACTGTGCCAGATTTCTGGGTGAGAGTGTGGTGAGTTTTGTTTTTAGTTGCGCCGCCTACACTCACCACAAAAACTGTTGTTGCGCTCTCTCCTGGCTCTCTCTCACACGGTCACACTACAGGTGAGATATCCGTTGGTCTGCAGCAGGGTCATACTGAAAGGACGCCGCTTTTTTTTGTTGTTATCGAGGGCGATAACAAACAAGGCAATCGTCATCGGCCTCTCGCTCGCTCTTTGTATTGCTCTCTCTATCGCTCTTCCCCTGTGAGTAGCAGAATCCTTCTTTTCGCTTTTTTCGCCTGTTCTTTCAGAGTATCTGAAATTTATGTAATTTAGCACAATGTTTGCTTGCACTGCAATGTCGACTGCAACAAAATCAGCGAAGGGCACACAAGAAGCGACGCAACACGCACACACACACCTCAAATCCGGATTCCCGATTCGCAATTTTTGCGCTGCGCTTTTCTGCGATTTATCGCGCACGCACTGCCACAATTTCACTCGCTAATCGCGCCGCAATGGGGGACGTGGGCTTTTCGATCGATTTAAGCGGCCGGCAGGTGTGTTTTATGCGAGAATTATTAATTTTTTCCAGCGGCAACTAGAATCGTTCACACAGACACCGTAGAAGTGACGCCATCTTTAAAAGCGGCCTATGCACGTTCAATCCGTGGGATAGTGTTGGTAAACGTACCTCTGGGCGGTAACAGCACGGAGGTAAATGTTAACTTTTTGAGAGGAAATGCGTATGATTTTTATTAAATAATTAGAATAATATAAATTTAGGCACCAAATTTGTCATATAAATATCGTAAAATAATATTTTAGGAGACTTTATACATATTTTAATATTGATTTCAGCTCAGTCTTTCCAGAAAGTAAGCAACTAATTAAAGAATTAAGCCTCTCAACACTGAGAAAAAATTATTTTAGGTTCTAGTCAATAAAATAGAAGTTTTTTTTAAAGAAATATTTATTTTACATTTACAGTGGTGTCTCCCTTGCCTAACAGTAAGCCGTTTAACACAAGATCTGTTAATTTCATGAGGTATTTTACGCTGTGCTCGCTCTGGTCACTTTGTCAGTGAATCAGAAACGCAGACTAATTAGTAAAAACGGTACAAAAGAACACTTAATTGCTGAAATTTCACCTGCCGCAGCCCATTAAAACCACCAGCCAAGTGTCGAGAGATAGAAAATCCAAAGATCCCCTCACAGTCACCCAAAAACAGCGCCGCAAAGTGGACAACTCCCAGTTTTCCGAGCATCCCGAAAAGGAGCATCGTGACAAAAAGGCGAGACTTCGTCGCAGCAGAATGTCCTCGCTGTCCGCATCGGCGGAGAATGTGTCCAGTCTGGGACTGGGCGCCGGTGGGGCCAACTCCCACGACGGGAACTCCCAGCAGGGGTCGGGATCGGATGGAGGATCCAGCATGTGCCTGGAGTTGGCACTGGAGGGCGAACGCCTGTGCAAGGCGGGCGATTGCCGGGCGGGCGTGGCCTTCTTCCAGGCGGCCATTCAAGCCGGAACCGAGGATCTCCGCACTCTGTCCGCCATTTACTCCCAACTGGGCAACGCCTATTTCTACCTGGGTGACTACAACAAGGCGATGCAGTACCACAAACACGACCTTACGCTGGCCAAGAGCATGAACGACAGACTGGGCGAGGCCAAGTCATCCGGCAATCTGGGCAACACGCTGAAGGTCATGGGTCGCTTCGACGAGGCGGCCATCTGTTGTGAACGCCATTTGACCCTCGCCAGGCAGCTGGGAGATCGCCTGTCGGAGGGACGTGCCCTTTACAACCTGGGAAATGTCTACCACGCCAAGGGCAAGCATTTGGGTCAAAAAAACCCAGGGAAATTCGGCGACGATGTCAAGGAGGCGCTCACCCGTGCTGTGGAGTTCTACCAGGAGAACCTGAAGCTCATGCGGGATCTGGGAGATCGTGGTGCCCAGGGACGAGCTTGTGGTAACTTGGGGAACACCTACTACCTTTTGGGCGACTTCCAGGCGGCCATCGAGCACCACCAGGAGCGACTGCGCATCGCCAGAGAGTTTGGCGATCGAGCTGCCGAGCGGAGGGCCAACAGCAATCTCGGCAACTCCCACATTTTCCTGGGACAATTCGAGGATGCCGCCGACCACTACAAACGCACTTTGGCCTTGGCCGTGGAGCTGGGCGAGCGCGAGGTGGAGGCCCAGAGCTGCTATAGTCTGGGGAACACCTATACTCTGCTGCACGAGTTCAACACTGCCATCGAGTACCACAATCGGCACTTGGCCATTGCCCAGGAGCTGGGAGATCGGATTGGCGAGGCAAGGGCCTGCTGGTCACTGGGCAACGCCCACTCCGCCATCGGTGGACACGAGCGAGCGTTGCGCTATGCGGAGCAGCACTTGCAGCTGGCCAAGGAGCTGCATGATCCCGTGGGCGAGAGCACAGCCAGGGTGAACATCTCAGATCTGCGAAAGCTGCTGGGATTGCCCGAGACGGAGCCGTCGCCAACAGAGGAGGAAGCGCGATCCTCCGCATCGGATCACTCGGCCAGTGGTCATCAGTCGGACGGATCGGAGAACTCGCAGGGAAGAATGGTGAGTAAAATATTCTTGGAAATATGGATATATTTACCCCTTTTAATTTGATTTAAAATCACTGCATTTGATTGTTTGACCTATATATTAATTAGGTTAATTTTAATGGGCCAATTGACCAAATTTGTCTGAATTAATTGGTAATTTAACGGGAATCCGAAAATATGGAAAGTTCTCATCAAATAAATTATAACCTTTTAACAGTAATAAACAAGAAAAAATATTTTAATTGCAATAGTAAACTATTTTTTTTTAGCCTGGTAACCAGATCTATGTAGCCATTTTACAAGACATATAAATAAAAACAAAATCTAGTGTTTATACTAGCCATAGCTTATTTATTTAATATTCTAATAGCAATTTACCTTTCAGCCCTAGCATAAATCTTCCAATTTTTCCTTTTTGAAGAGAATGTTGTATTTTGTTTATGGACACATGCTGTTAGCAGTGTTTGCCAACTAATTGTAGGGTAAATATCTGGATGTAGGGAAAACCAAAACAGGAGGTTGCACTGAAAGCACAAACTGTGAAAGTGAAACCCAGAAAAGATTCATAACTACATTTATTGCTGTTTATTGTTTACCCTCAGGTGCGCGTTCGTCGCCAGAGCATGGAGCAGCTAGACCTGATCAAGATCACGCCGGACGGAAAGCGCATGCAGGAGGAGAAGCGCCGCGCACAGGCGACTGGAAAAGCCAAAGATGACGACTTCTTCGACATGCTGTCGCGGTCGCAGTCGAAGCGCATGGATGACCAGCGCTGTTCGATCAAGGTGAATCCCGCTGGAGCTCCGGCGGTGGCCACGGGCGCTACTCGCAAGCCACTGGTGCAGCAGAACTCGCTCTTCGTGGATCCCACCAATCTGCCCGGCCTAAAGTCGCCCTCGTCGGCGAATTCGGCGCCTATTGGGCACGGGCATTTGGCCAGGAGTGCCACCACCACTCAGCAGCCGGACGATGACTTCCTGGACATGCTGATGCGCTGCCAGGGCTCGCGGCTGGAAGAGCAGCGGTCCGAGCTGCCGCGTCCCAATGTCACCATGGATGCTGAGGCGGAGGCGCCACCGCGAGCAGTGCCAGAGGCAGCGGTGGCTGGAGCAGCACGTGGACAGACTGGACGCGGAGCCACCGTGCCCGACGAGGACTTCTTCTCGCTGATCATGAAGGTGCAGAGTGGTCGCATGGAGGATCAGCGCGCATCGATTCCGTTCCGCAATGCCAACAACAACAACAACAGCCGGAGCAACAACAATGGTTCGGCTGGCGGAGCTGGAAAGTAGAAAGTAAAGAGGAGAGAGTCGAGAAAAAAGTCCAACCAAAACAATCCTATCAATCCATCCCAGACCGCAGCTCCCGATTCATTTTGTTAAACGTACATTTTGCGGTCCTATATTCAGTCGTTTCTTTTTTGCAATTGGCGACTTAACATTTTGTTCTTTTACAAGATTTATATATACACACACACATGAAAAGCATTAATTTATGAATAGCAACTAACCACGTAACCAAATATTAGGGGATTATATGGCCCCGTAGACACGAGCAGATGGAGAAACTTCCATGGGATGCACTCACTCATCCAGTCATGACTCATTACACACTCGTCTTGGAGTTGGCCATGATATTAAACAATCTGCACTCGAGTTTTACGATATTAACGTTTGAATTGCATGTGCAAGTAGCTTAAGCCGAAGGTATACTAATCCAATTTGCTCAATAGACGGAACCAAGTCTTCTCTATGATCAATGATCTTACATTCTCTAACCGCATTCAGCTAATTACTAAGTTAAAAGTATAACGAACCACTCTACATATAAGCAATGCATTTTCCAAATCGAAATACTACAAATATTTCCAACTGTATCCATGAGTATTGCATTTTTCTATCTATCGTTAACTCTGAGCATACTTTTTAAGCCACTTACAATTTTTTTGAGATATTAACAAGACACAAAGAAGAGCTGCTCGGGTTTCCATTTGAGGACCGGCGCTTTTGTTAGCAATTAGCATACGATTTACACATCCATACGTACACATATACAAGATACATATGAACAATATATAGTTATACCAATTTCTAACAATTGACCGATTCGGGGATTGTTCTACACAATATATACACAAAACAAAACACAAAACTGAGTTCGAGTTGCATGAAAAGAAGCCAAAATTTATTAATGTTATACGTTTATGTAGCACGAAAGGAGGTGCGCTCATGAAGCTAATTGTAATGATAGCGATCGATCGGTCATTATGATATACAGCTGTAAAACATACCATACAGGCGGACAAATATGTCATGTATTATTAAATATTAAAATCAAAAATTGTTTGCTGACAATAGCTGTTGTTTCTAATCGTAAGGGTAATTGGCTTCAAAGGTCTTTAGACGAATTCGTTTTATTAAAAAAGGCTATGAAATGGACTGGTAAGAAGTCTTTACTGAAAGTCTTTTCTGAAAACTCAAATATTATAGGTTTCTTTGTGAAAGAAAGAAGAAATTTTCTATAAACATTAATGACTTATCTTGCCAATAATGAATAAATAAAATCCAATTTTTAGGAAGTTTATCCCTTAAATAATTAAAAATGTATTCAATTTTAAAGCTTTATTCATAAATTAATCGTCTTAGGGTACTAGAACATATGCGATAAGTATTCGATAGTGGGGGCCCCTCTAGTCGCACACCCCTTTTGGCTTAGTTGGGGTAGAATCGAGCCGCTGACCTCCGCCGTGGAACTCCTCCCCCCTAAAAGTACATCTTAAATTTGCTCTCTTTTATTTACAAATTGATTTAGATAACTCAACAAAGGCCTACGCCTTGAACCCCTTGACGCTGTCCAATTGTGCGTCCATGTCGCTGGCGGCCAACACGAAGATGGGGGCGGAGTAGTCCACGGGCTTGTCGCCACTCCCACCGCCACCCTTCGAATACGAGTGCACGGCCTTGAGGCTCCGGCCCCTTTTCAGCATGACATAGACCACAAATATGCTGACCAGGAAGGCGGAACTGGTGGCCATGATGAAGAGCACCAGCTGGATGGACTCGTCCTGGGCGGTGGCCGCCTGAGCCACTGGGACCTGGGCGCTGCGATGCACAAAGTGGGAGCGGGTCAAGTCCGGCCGGAAGTGACCGCCTGCCAGCCGGAAGTCTCCGGATGAAATGGCCGCCTCGATGGCAAAGGCCAAATCCACCTTGGCCTCGTTGTGCAGCTCGAAACGGACTATGGCCGATCCATCGAAGTTCTCCTGCACCCGCAGATTCTCCACGGATTCGCCACCCAGGAGCTGCTGCAGTTCCCTACGGATAGTGTCATAGGCATTCCTCACACTCCGGCCACTGCTGTTGGTCAGGTGGAGTTCGATGGCCACCGCCTCGATGGGCACATGGTTGCAGCGACGATCTCCGGCTCCGAAGATGTGGGTGGCCTGCAGTTGATTGCCGGCCGCATCCACGCACCAGCAACTCCGGCCATTGCACTGAAGTGGCCGAAAAGCTCCCGTCTCATCGCAACTAACCGGAAATGGAGCCGTTTCCGCCAGAGCTCGACACCGTGTGGTCTTCAGCTCCATGGGTTTCAGGGTGGCCTGCTCCACGGACAACTGCGAGTCCAGCAGGGAGTTGGCCAGCTCGAGAACCCTCTCCGTGACACTGGACTCCGCCGCACTCGCGGTGGCGGGAAGAATCCTGGCCTCCAGCTCATCGAAATCCAGATCCTCGCTGGCCACATCGTTCAGTTGGGTGAGCTGGGCAATCAGTTGCTCCATCAGCGGATCTCCGGCATCGAAGTTCTTGCGATTACGAGCCTGTCGGCTGTTGCAGATGGGTTCGCTCTCCCGGGTGAGGGTTCCCTTCAGAGGAGCACCCTTCTTGTCCGCACACCAGCAAACTCCGGGGGATTCCTCCGCAGCGGAGGCGGGTTCGGAGGCAAAGGCGCGACTCACAATCTCCGTGTGCCTGTCCGAGGGCTGGGGCTGCTTGCCCAGACACTGCACTGGGCTCCAGTGACCGGTGACGGGATCACATCGTGGCTGGAACCACACTGAGGAGTGACCCGTGCGCTGCGCAGCCAGACTGTTCTTAAGTTTCAGGCGTTCGCACTGAGTTAAAACTGAAAAGAAAAGAACAAGAATTTAAATTATTGAGTTTACTTTACGAAAATAATAATAAACATAAAGAATAATTAATACATTTTTACGAAATCTTAAAATGGTCCGAACAAATTAATATACAAATTTGTTTTCCAGTTTAAATTGTCTACGTTTTTAAAAACTGGTTTGGAAAATAAAAGATGATTCTATATATTTTACAATTAATATCAATAAAATTAAGCAATGTAAATATTGAAAGAAAAATTTCATTATATTGAATTGCTATAGGTTTCTCATGTAGGTTTTTTTTAAAAAGTCGGAAAATTAGAATTTAAACGGAAAAAAGGAAATTAATGATCAAAAATGTATTACCATTTCCTTTTTTAAGAAAAAGCTACAAGTTAATTGAATTTTAAATGTTAGGACAGAACTTTAATCTCACCTGGACACACGGAGTTGCAGGCCAGTTCGTTGTGGAAGAGGTTTTTGGTCTGGCAGGCGGGTGCCTCGGAATCAATGACCACAGCCAGGCACTTGTTGGCCTTGGGACTGAACCGATAGCGAGTGCTGTTCCTTTCCGACTTCCCACTGGCCAGACAGCCATTATCCATGGACTCGAAGCAGACATCGCGGGTCTTGGAGCAGCAGACCCCGCGATTGGTGACCGGGTTCAGCTGGCAGGAGTGGGTGGTGGGGCAGGCCTCGTGCTCGTTGTGGGGTCCACAGCTCATGTCCAGATCGCCTTGCTGGAGAGGATTTCCCTCGGGACAAACGGAGGCGCGTCGGGGCACACAGATGGGCATCTTGGGACAGGGACTGTCCACACACTCCACGGAGATCAGTTGGCATTCTTCATGAGGTGAGCAGCTCACTTCATGGCAGTAGTTTCTGCACTGACAGGTGGGACATCCATTGGAGTCCATTTGGTAGCCACTTTCGCACTGCAGGCTGCAGTTCGTTTTTGGGCAGGCGAAACTGGAGTTCTCCTGGCATTTCGGTGTTTCGGGTGATTTAACCTTAGTACCAGGCAGGATTTTACCTTGGTCGTCCACACACCAACAGTGACCATCTGGCGAGCACTGGACCTGCTCCCATTTGCCATCCTTGGCGTCACACTGAGCCACTGCCATTTGGCGGGCGGGGATGCCCAGCTCGGAACTCTGGTGGAGTTGGATGGCCTGCAAGTGCTGGCAGGCTGTTTTCAGCTGGGGATCCACGCACTGGGTGCCACAACCGTTGGAACAGCACCGTTTAGCTCCTGCGCAATGGGCATCCGTTCGGCACTCATAGGCACAGGTATTGGCGTCCAGGTTATCGGGACCCGGGGGCACCAAATAAGGACACTGTCCCGGTTTTCTTGGCAAGCAGGCGGGCACTGGAGGGCAGTATTCACCCTCACAGCTCACATCCACCACGCGGCATTCCTTTCCAGAGCCACAAGTCACCCCTTCGCAGGGATCACGGCACTGACAGGCCGGACAACGGGTATCCGGATCCAGGGCGAAGCCATATTCACAACCCATTCTACAGGTGAGATCCAGGCAGTCCAAGTCCTCCCGCAAACTGCGGCAGGTATCTTCGCTGACATTATAGCCCCGAGATCGGGGAATCTCCGTGCCAAAGCTATCCACACACCAGCATTGTTCCACATCCATTTCGACCAGCTCATCCTCGTTCTCTGGCGGTCTCTTGGATGCGGAGGCCACCTTCTTGAATTCCGTTTCGAAGAGCTGACCCAATCCCTGCTGACGATCCGCACCCATGTCAATCACCTTGGCACTGCGACCCATGACGGGAGCAGCAGCCTGGACTTTAAGAGCACTGTCCTCCACCCGATAGAGCTTCAGGCGTTCCAAATCCCGACGAGAGCGTTTTGGGACACTGGGAGCAGCGCTGGCGAGCAGCATCCTCATGCGCCGGATGGTGTTCTCCTCCAGAATCTTGCGTTGTTCGGCGCGTGTCACTCGAATCTTCTTCAGCTGGCACTGGCGACCCTCGTAGTCTCCATCGGTGGTGCAACGTGGCGAAGGAATCGCCAGTTGCATGCCCTCTTCAGTGCCCTCCATCCGTTCCGAGAAGTCCCTCAAATATTCGCACACTATGAAAAGATATTGGTTAGATAGGTGTATTATATGTATTCGAGATAAAACTTACTTGTTTGCTGATGCGATCCCATTGCCTCCTCAGCAGGAATGGTCTTTTCCGGAAGTGGACAGCACACGTTCTCCGTTTCTCGGTGGAGCTTGGTGCACTTGTACTGTTCCGGGCACATGATACGATTGCTCATAGAGCGACCTTGCTTGGATTGCGACTCCGGTTCAGTGTCGAAGAAGGCCGTGGGCTGGAAACTGCGTCCTTGTCGCTCCTCATAGCAGTACATCACCTCACCAGTTGCGGAGTCCGAAAGTGGGGTTCCCACATCACAGGGGTTGGAGTAGACCAGGTCGGGCTTGCACACGGGCCAGGAGGCGCAAAGAGAGGAACCAGATTCACACAAAGGATCAGTGGCCACCTCGCAATGGGAGCCAATGGAGCACTTGAAGCCATCGCAGGGCTCAGAGCATTCGCACGTGGGACAGCCATTGTGATCGTTCTGAAAGTGAGTTGAAGATTAAATTGATTGAAGCACCTCCTTAAATAGAATCACTCACCTTAAATCCGTATTCGCAGACAGCCGCACAAATGTTGGTATCACACTGCTCCATCTGGAAACTTCTGGCATAAGACCTGCTGATCATGTTTTCCCAACCATCGCAATTGACGTTATTGGCCGCACCCATGGTTTCCTTGATCTTGTGCCCTGTTCGGGGGTCCACGCACCAGCAGACCAGTCCGTTCCGGGAGCATTGTTTCGGGGAGAACTGACCACCAGGACCATTGCACTCGGGCACATAACCACGTCCCTCACGCTCATTGATCGACAGAATGTCGGCTAACGCCTTGGCCTGATGACAACCCGTAATATTTCCCGGCTGCTGGCAATTAAACTGACATCCCTTGGTGAAACAGCACTTCTCCAGATTCCGGCACTCTAAATCGTGGGAGCAGGGCGAACCGCACATGTAACCCGTACGTTCGGTGTACTGAGATTGCTCCGGTGCTGGACAGATTCCGGGTTTCTGGAAGGTCAGAGCACTGGGGCAGCACACTCCATAATCGTTGCCGGACTCCACCAGGCATTGGTACAGAGGCGGACACTGTGGCTTGCCCGGATCTTGACCACAAAGGAATGGTCTCACTGTGTCATCGATGGCAAGGGGTAGTCCGGCGGGACATAGATTGGCCAGAGATCGGGCCTTTTTGCAGGTGGGCAGTGGAGGACATGGCTCTGACTTGCACTGCACCTCCTGCAACTGGCAGGATTGTCCGCGAGGACACTCCAATCCATCGCATGGATCACGGCAACGGCAAACGGAGCATCCAGTATCAGGATCACGGGCGAATCCCGAGGGGCAGAACATGCGACAGGCGGAGGCGGCACAATGTTTCGGTTCGGAGCAAGTCACTCCCGATCTTGTCTCATTGCGACTGCCGGGCAATTCCACGCCGTAATCATCCACACACCAGCAATCCCGGCCAGCCTTTTCATCATCACATTGGATAGTGTCAAAATCACCGTTCTTCTGACAACGCGGCACACGTACCGATGGTCCTTCAAAGCCGGATTGCAGGGACTTGGCTCGTCTCGTCTCCGAGCGTCTTAAATGCTGGCAGGCTGTAAGATTCGCTGTAGATATAGAAAGAACAATACGAATTATTTATTAATGAGAAAATAAAATTTGTATATAATAGGGTAACTTATTTAAACTATAACATTGGATCAGAAAATCTCGTTTCGATAACTATTATTATTACCATCCTTGACTTAATCAATGAAAAAAAAATATATATATTTTATTTTTTTTATTTATATATATTTAACCTTAAAAACCCTTTAAAATCTGGGCATTTCAAAAATAATTCCAGTTTTAGCAGCCAATAAAAATATGAAAATGGTATCGTTTTCTGTTTTATTTTTTCAGAGAGAGGGAAAAGAGTCTGACATACTTTCGTGTTATTCAACTGCCGAATCCCAGCTACGACAATTTCACTTTTATTTTTTTTAGGACGTGACGCGTGCGTTCAACAAAAAACCCAACGTCTATGAAAACTGCAAAATTGAAATTGAATATACAAAATGGAGTGGCTGACGGCGGCATTGCTGAAATTGTTGTTACACTGCCAGCCATTCGCAGTTGTTGTTCGACCGTCCCAGGGCCAGGTTTGTATTAAGCGTTTTGTATGCGCATAGCTTGTCCACGAGGCGTATAAGCAATTCGCTTCAAATGGCCACGGTTTTGGCTAGAGATGCTATGAGCATTCTGCTTTGGGAAGAGCCATTCCATTGTCTCGACTAGGGTTATGCAATTAAAGTGAGTGATCATCCCGCCCCCCAATTACCACTTGCCGCCCCCTATTTCCCCCCCTTTTGTTGTCCAGCACGCAACACTGCCCTCGGGGTTGCGACAGCTGAGCTTTAGTTGCGTCAATTGCAGTCGTTATTGCTGGTCACTTCCTATGCACTTTCGATATATTTTTAATGCATCAGCCATTATGCAACTGTCAACTGCATTAAGGGTAACAAAAACGTATGAGCGCCGATAAAAACATCGAAAATTAACAATAAATAAAAAAAAATTGTACTTTTCACTTTGATCTTTCCGAAGATCATTTTAATATTAGATTATAAAACAAAATGTTTATTTTTTAAAAAGTATCGGCTTAATCCATTTTAATCTCACTCGACATGAGTTCTCCCAAAAACCTTACTGTCCCATTGGTACTAACAAAGTTATTCATTTTATTCTGCCATATCAGTTTCTTTTTCATATGAAATATAATCGGATTAACCACCATTTAAGGTAATTTTTTTGGTGAAATGTATAAGTTTTATAAATAAGTGTTGGCCGTACAACCGCTGAGTAATCGCTGAACTTATCTTCAGAGATTTCTTTTTTTTCGCCGCACATCCGCTTCAGCTCATCCGAAATATTTATTTAATTTTATTTACTTTTCACTGCCTTTCTTTGCGGCCGTTGGTTTTATTTTTCTGGAGTTTTCGCTAGAAATTGAATGAAAGTTTTTTTTGGCAGCGCCTCGAGCTCGAGTTGGCCATCAATTTGTATTTGCCGTTTGGACAAGAGACACAACGAAAAAAAAATCAAAAAGAAATGAAAATGGCTTTCAGTTTCTGTCGTAAATGAAGCTAGCAACAACAAAGCAAAAGCCGTCGGGCAGCTGGCAATTAAAGCTGGCCGATGATGAATATAATCTAGCAGAAAAACAACGGCCACTAGACGTCATTTGCAGGCGACTTTTATTCTCGCCTCCCAGGCCAAATCGAGTTTGTCGCTTAAGTCTTTCGTTCGGCTTCCGCTCGGCAAAAAAAAAAAAAAAAGCAGAAAAACGGAAAACAAAAACGAGTATAAAACAGAACCGTAACGAAAACGAAATCAAAGCGGCAAACTGGTAAGTACCTAGAGAACTGTTCGCCTATTGTGAGTTAAAGCTAGGACTGGGTCTGGGTCTGGGACCTGATTTGACCGACTGACACAGTGTCCGCTGCATTTAGAAGCCGTCTGGCTTTGTTTCCCTTGTGCTCTGGCTCTGTGGCGGGGTCTTTCAACGGTGGCTGGCGTATTTTTCAGCTAAGCGCTTTTTAATGATGGCGTGCCATTTTTCACACCACCCAGACTATGCAAGTTCTACACGTCACGTTAATTATGCAGCAGCAACTTGGCATTTAATGAGCCACCAAATGGTCCACATTCGCCAGTCGCGGGTTCAATGACTGCTTTTTGCCCAAAAAACCAAAGCAAAAGCATAAAGTTCTGGCTCAAGAAGTCAATGACTTGCAAGCCGCCTTGCCATTTTGGCATTACACAGCAACAAAAGCAAAGCAATTATGTATCACATTTTATGAAGTATGGTATTTTAATAGCTAGAAAAACATAATATTAGTACAAATGTTGTTTTATTAAAAATTAAAGGAAGCTTTTGACAAAAAGTAAGGAAAAGGCTATCGACTATCAATAAAATTTCAAAATGCTCTGTAAATTATATATTTCTTATTGCTTGCAAATATTTATTGCAGTTTATGTTATTCAAAATTATTTCCCATAAAGTAGAGTTCATTTAACCAATTATAAAACCAATATAATAAGAATTGGTGCATACAAATAATTAAAGGCTGCTACATATTCGTGCATTTTAACGATTTTATTATGCTTTCATGTCTGAATTTCTTTTATAACAGCTTGATTCATTCATAAAATTACCATAGTTTTTGTTGTTATATATTTTATTGTTTTTTTCTGTGCACTTACCATTTGTGCGCTTGGCATCCGAAACCTGCAGAGCCAGCAAAAAGAGAAAAAGGCATCCGGAGAAGAGCTTCAGCCAACGTTGATCATAGTGTGCCATTTTCGGGCATCCAAGAGTTGCCAAAAATTTCCTGTTTCTGCTGCTGCTGCTGCAAAAAACACCAAAGACAGAGAGAGTATGTGAGTGCGTGAGTAATATGGTTGCTGCCAAGCTCGTGTGTTTGACGTCACTCGAGCAAACCGTGAGATTCAAATTTCAGCTAGACACTTTCACTATCAACGGCTAGGCATACATTTACATCTGCTTTCCGGGGCGCGGCAAAGAATTCAAAGCGATTTGATTGCGTAACATGTGAAAATGAAGAGCGCATCTCGATAGGGTCACGAACCCATCCAAATAGTGGATCTATTTTTATTTTTTTGTCGGAGCCCAACTGTCTTCGCTTTACGGCCGGGTGATTAATCTGCGCAGACTTCGCCGCTGACGTTGACGTCGCTGCGCTTTCACTTTGGCAACAGCCAAAGAAACACACAACCAGCAACAACCAGTCAACTTTATACATCATTTATTTTTATTTATTTTTTTGTCTTCTCTTAAAAATTCACTTTTGCCCGTGTGCGTGTGTGTGTGAGCCTGCGTTTTCCGGTCCATTGAAAATGGCTCAGCTGCGGGTTAACTCCCTGACCACTTTAATGACACCGAGGATTTTCTCTCATTATGGTTAGGTAATAACATAATACATCTATTCCGCAGTGGTCAAGAGTTTTAAATGAGCATCTTAAAAAAAAAGTTTGTGGCCTAAGTCTTTTGATTGTTTCTTTCACTGGATTTTGGTCTTTTTTTCGTTTTGGGGAAAACTATCTGAATCATTTTCTCAATGGCTAGTGGCCGCATTTGCAATTGGCCAAACATGAAAACTCGCTAACACCTGGTCGATCCACAATGAAATTTCAACACGGAACTGTCGGCTAAAAAAACCCACAAAAAATGTGTATGCTTTTTGGCTGTTGCATGGTTCTGAAAAACCAGGCCAGTTTACTTCGCAGTGGCATTTTCACTGCACCCAAGCCGAAATGAAAGCCTGGTGACTTGAACTTGGGCCAAAAACTTGGGCGCGCCGACTGCCAAAGATTTCACCTCGCATGCAAAAAGCTGCAAAAAACCTCAACTTTTGGCTCTCGGCTCTATCTCTATTGTTTGTCATTGACTGTGGGCCAAAGGGAGTCAAGTGTGGCTAATGGGTTGTGGGTACTGCAGATGGGTGACCTACGATGGAAGTCTTGACCCTGCCTGACATGCTTGGCCGACAGTTACTAGAGTGTAAAGTTAAATGATTGGTGAAATGAGGCCACATGTCAGTCGGCTGAGGGAGGAGGAGGGGGCACTGCATAACTGAAGGGATTTCATGGCAGCTTTGCCGTTGTAGCACTTCAGTTGGTAATACCTATAATCCGATCATGCGAGTGCGAGTACTCAACCTTTAACCCACTCCCATGGGAAATTGGAATTTCATGTTTCATTTGAAAGCAAACCGTATTTTGGTGACTAATAAACTTTATTAAAAAGTTGTAATGCTTTTAAGTATGGTTCAAAAATAGTATAGTTAAAAATCTTAGCCTTAAAACTCTTGAGTTTAAAACTGAAATGAAACACTAAACACTAAAGCCTTTCATCTTCTAATTATGTTTTAGCGCAGTCACACTTGCTTACGCAAATAAGTCAGAGTTTTGCAAAGGCTAGCACCTGAAGATCCCTTTGGGAACTATCTATAATTGGATCAACCGAGTGCTGAACTCTTAACCCATCTCGCCTGGGAACCCAGCACTCCAAATGCTCCACTTTAAAGTCCAACTGCGAGTCATACAGGTATTTTTGGCTCTTTCCCTTGGCGGCTGGCTTATTGCCAACTTTTTTTGTCGAGTTGCAGCTACAGTTAACTTCAGTTAGACCACACTTGCGAAATGGTTTTTCGGCTTACGCCTAACGGTTCGGCTTGGACTGGCGCAGTTAATGTCGTTTCTTCTTTGGCTCGCTCGTTTTTAGAGCCGTTTAAATTGCGCATGTCGAACTTTTGAGGGGTCTCAAGACTCCAGTACTCTGACATAATTTCGAAATGAGCAAAAAAAAATATTTGAACAGAATGGCGAATCACTTGTTTACTTGGTTATTCCAGTTCTCGGTGAATCGAGAAGCGATCGATCGATCGTAAATGCCAAAAGTTCACCTTGAGTTTTCATTTAGCGTAGGCTCATTAAATGATTGAATTGCTGGCACGAAAAAAAACACATTTGACTGCCCACCTTTGACACGTTTACGAGCCGCACTTAAGGCTCGGGTTTCAATTTCAATTAGCCCCGGACTCCACACCCTCGATTGCTCAACAAACCTGTTTAATTGAGATGAGTTGCTGCTGCTGTTGCTGCTGTTTTTGCGGCTAATCCAATAAAAAGTGAAACTATTTGATTGGTTTGGGCTTTGGTTTCGTTTTCGGTTTCAATTTTCAGCGGTATGTGCTTTAATCCAGGTGCACAGCTGGCCGGTGCAATGCAATTTGCAATTTTCACTGAATTTCACTGGGCGCCCACAGATAGATAGACTTTTTAGATGAAACGCTGTGCCAAATTCGGTTTTCACTCCGATCACTTTGCAAACTCTCTCGCAACTTAACGTTTTTCCTTTTGATCCGCGGCGGTAATTCAAATTCGCGTGCAACCTCAACGGCGGGCGTTGCGCATTTGAGCTTTTGCAAGACTCCGCGATGGCCTAGTAGCTCCCCAGTTGGCCAAGACGATTCAGTTGGTTCGATCGAACATGTTGCGGCGCGACACGAACTGCCAAAAACCAAAACAAGCCGAGCTCTAACTCATTTCAAAGGCTTCTGACGCATTGGGGGGTTATGCGCAGCTGCAAGGTCGAGGTATTTAAAAAATAACTACTAACTATTCAAATGTATAGCCCCAAAATTAGCTGTAACTTATAAGTTTTTAGCATGAAAGGTTTTTTGATCACATTTTGTTCACTTTTTGCACTACCTAACTTTTAAGAGACACCATGTTTATTTTTACCATCAATTACTTGATCAGTTCTTAATATGTATTAAGCTATAAGCCAACGGATAATTAAACATTTAGGTCATGACGTGAAATATTTAGCTATGTGCTAAATTAAAATTGAGTTAAAACAATAAAATGTTGCTAAAATATTAAAATAAATTTAAAAAATACAATTCCAACTTTCTATCTCCATACTTTGATAAAAGAATAATTTGATTTTACCCGTATTTTTTCCCATAGATCCAATTTAGGTCTTTGACATTAAGGAAATACGTCTATAACCCTATATATGATTTTTATTCGTTCCCACAGATCCAATTTAGGTCTTTGACATTAAAAAAATACGTCTATAAATAACAAAAATGGGTTTTTTAGTTCTCCGGAAACCAAAGCATAACCTGAATTAAATTGGAAGCATTAGGAAGCCAAACAATAAGAATCGAACTTTGAAAGGAGTGCTATATATAATATTAAATAATTCTGTCACTAGATAAAAAGTTTAAGTTTCATAGGTACTATTTAACAAGTAAAATTGATCAAACAAAAATAAATTTTTTTAAACATATTTCTCTGTAACTAGCAATAAAAAGCCATTAATGTGTGACCCTTTGTCTGGCACTCGTAAAGCTGATATGCTGTTGTTAATGGGGGATTTTGAAACATGCTGCATAGCTGGTGGAGTTTTGGGTTACTCCCATGTGTGGACACTTATTCATGCTCCAATTCCACTCCACGCATTGACGGTTTGGTTCTGGCTTAGACTTCGGGCATTCCACTGTTGATTCATAACGATCGGCTAGTGCTGATTATTATTTGTTATGGAGCGCAATAGTTCACTTAACCTAGTGCGTGTTGGCCTTCGTGGGCCAGAATTAGCTTTACGGTGGGTAAAACCGAATTAACTTACCCGCACATCGGCTGACTCAACTTGGGTATGCACAAAAATATATTCCAATGTATATGTTTGAATGGCGAATACGTCAATGCAGGCAACCAAGGGCGATAAATTCCTCTGATGGATGTTTTGACAGAGATCTCTGGTGGGCACTTCCGCTTCATTTCGGATTTCGCACGCTTTTGCCATCGTTCGCTGCTGTCGGCTTTCTTCTTTAATTTCATTAATAAAATCGTCATCATTAAATTAAATGCGGTGCTTGGAGATATCGTGACACAAAAGCCGCACAAATTGCCAAAGATGTTCGAAAATGTAAGAGGGAAAAAACGAAACGAAAAGAAAGAAGCAGGAAAGGGCCACCCCAATCACAACATCCGCGTACGTGAAAGAGGGCTTCTACGGAGCCCCGCAATTGCTCCAATCGAACCTCGACCTGAATAAACATCTCACATTTACCCGGTTTATCAGGCCATGCAGCAGCGCCCCCAACTTTTGCGCCCCCCAACCGCCAGCTGCCGAAAGTGAAAGTTCTGTGAAATGCATGGGATAACGCGGTGAATGGTCGGTGGGGAGTAATGAAAATAAAACCACTTTGCATTGCTTACATTTGGAGTGTCTTTTTATTGGTTAATAAACTAATATATGATTCTTTATCTATGTATATCTTGCTGCTGCAGTTGCTGTCAGGGGTCTTTAAATTCTGGGATAACAAACAAGTCTTCGAAGGGTTTGTTATTATCTTCGTTTGTTTATTTCTGTTGCTTTTTTTTTGGGTGTTTGGAACTGGGTTGGCAAGTACTTTTATTTTTATATATTTTAAGTGTATGTCTCTAAACGCATTTTACAATTGAAATTAAATTTCACACATGGACTTCATAAAATTGTTTAAAAAAATTAAATAGATTTACATTTGTTTGTCTGCTAACCCGAAGCGATCGTCCACATATCGGCTGGAGTTTGTGTACTTTGAAAAGTTGTGATTCTTAGAAGATCTCTAGGTGTTAGTTAAAGTTTTAGACGAGTGTCTTTTGATTCTAGAGGTTGTTCCATTCCTGGATTTGTATTACAGAGAGTGCGTCTAGTAAATTGGTGTGACTTGTATTAGTTTGAATTATCGAGTTAATTAACTGCGTGAGTTGTTTCTGTAGTCAACTGTTTGTTTCTTTGTTTGTTTTTGTTGCCAAGAGGAAACCTTACGATTAGTTTGTGATTTAATTTGAATTTTGGTAAATGTTGGATCTCATCTAGATTGCATGTACAATTTAATCGTTTGATTTGTTTTGGGCGCGTTCTCATATCAAGAGCATTTTGTTTATGTATAACTACTATCTATATAGCGTTATCAATTTACGTATTTTATTTACACTTGCATTGTTTTGTTCTTTTCTGTTTTTGTTTTGATCCACTCATGTCTTGCGTTGTAAATATTTGCACGGATATTAAAAACAGAAACATTTCTATTATTGAACACAGTATTGCATTTCTCCGTCACCTCGCTCCTTGTACACGTATCTATCGCTTTTGTCTGTCATCCGGTTTTGTTCATCACTTTTTTGCTAAGATCAATTAAATGTCTTTTTGTTTTGACTCTGTTTCTGTCTCTGACACTGTCGCGGCTTTTGGTGCACCTACTGCCGAGGCAGCGCACAAAATTTGCATAAATAAATTCTAACAACACGCTTAGGCTATGTGATTAAGTAAAAAAAATACATTAATAATTTGAATACAGCTGTTGCCATCGAACTTAGCTCACATACGCGGTATAAATAATAAATTAAACATTTATAACTATTGCAACGCTACTCGACCTATCAACTATATCAAATTGTATATAACCGTATATAAATATGTCCTTTTGCTAAAAATTATTATTATTTGTTTGTTTCTTTCTCGTTTCGTTACTAGTCTAATGCATTAAAGTAATAATAACTGCGGATTATCAACTTGCTAGCTTGCCTTTTGTGTGTGGTTAGTAGAAGAAAGTCGGGGAAAATATATACTATATACTCGTACTTATTCGCTAGTTACATATTATCATAATTATTATCATTATCGTTATCATTATTACTTTATGTAGGTAAGCATAGTGTTACGGTTATTATGTACAACTGTCTGGGTGCTGGCTCTGCTTGCGCTTCGACTTTGGCTCCTTGGGATGCTGATCGATCGACGGACGACGCGGATTGCCGAGCGTGACTAAGGCGCTGGCCACGGCTAGACCAGCGGACTGTCCAGACGGCGCTTGTGAAAGGCCACCTGTGTATCGAAAGTTGAATAAGTGAGAAATATATACTGTTTGAGACCAATGCTATCCTTACCCGTGGGCAGCCGGACTAGAAGCGAGAGCACAGCGGCTCTATTACCGCTGCAAGGCTCCAATGCAATGGGACTGGGGCATTCCTGAGAAAATGAACATATTAAAACCATATTTCTTATAATGTTTTCTATAATAATGAAATGATGCTAAAGTTGAAGCGATAAATTAAATATAACATTTGAATATAACACAATGAAGTTATTAAAGTTTTTTTAAAAACCTACAATTAATAACTAATTTCTACGGATTGTAGCTACTAAGACTGTAATAAATATTTGTTCTAACAAGAACTTTGAAATAACATAAAACTTCAATTTATGAAAATACAATATTGCAAATTATAAAATAAGTGTCGTGCAATATTCTCCAAACTATAAAATGTTAAATTTAAGTTAATATTTTGATCACAAAATTAATTTTTTCATTGATCTAAGACTACTAAAAAATTAAATAAAAAAAAAAAAAATCTTTCAAAAAAATTGGACTGTCCAAAAGCCATAATTTTATCTATTTTCCTAAATGGTAACAATCCGAAAAGCCGGCTCATAAAATTGTACGTTTTGATTGATTTACTCGCCCACCTTTTTGCGTTTCTTGGACAGGTGGCCAATGCCCTCCAGCGTCAGACTCAGATCAATACTTTCGCGGTTTTCGATATCGACCAGTACCTGTTGGAAAATCGATTATGGATTAAAAACATTACAATCATTCTTTCTTCCTTTAAGCTAACCTGTGAAAACGGTCGACTCGCCATCTGCTCCATTTCGACGAACAACCGTTGGCGTCGCCGGAACATGTCGTATTTTTGCTTGATCTTCCACAGGACGGCGGCCATGAGCAGCAGCAGCAGGAAGCATGAGGAGAATGTGATGAAGAACTGCTGCAGGTTGAGCTTGGGGTACTGTGAGAAGGCGATCTGTATCCAGATTGGCGGCTGGAAGTCGTGCACGAATACGTAGAAGGTGGTCAGGGAGCTGTTGTCATCGGGCGAGTGCCCGAATTGGTAGTCCGTCTTGGGGAACCGATGGCGGAACGTTGAGCAGTTAACTCCCACTAGGATGAGCATGTCCGGCGAGCCGGCCCTCTTCACGGAGATGTCCATTTTGGCTGGAACGCTGCAGGTAATTGTGAAATCAGCATCGATCTCCGGCTTGCCCGGAGAATTCCGGAAGTTTATCTGCGTAAAGTGACGGTCCTCCTTCTTGGAAAGATTAAACGTGAACTGGTAATCGATGGTCAGCTCGTAGTAGCAGGATCCCTTCAGTGGATCCCCGTGGTAATGGTTCTGGGAGTCACACTTTTCGCAGTGATCGCCCACAATACCCTTGGTGGTACAGAAGCATTTGCCAGTGTCCGGATGACAGTAAACGCCCTGGCCATTGCAATCACAGCGCTGGCACTTGCCTCCGTTGATGGGATTCCCCCAATATCCAGTGCGACACTTTTCGCAGTGCGTTCCGGTCGTTAGA